TTGGCAAGTTGGGCCCCCGGCCCATTTGAGACCCCTCAGGAGTGAGGATTGTTGTTTCTCGTTGGATGTATGCGAGTGGAGCACATGTGCCATTCTCTTGTTTGATGTGCACGTTCGGAGCCGCCCTCCGCCTGCGGGGGCGAAGCAAGTGCAGCCCCTTCCTTCGAGCCCAGTTTGCGGGGCGGCGCTCCGCTAAATGGTGCGAAACATTCGCGGTCTCTCGATCGAGGCAACTTGGCAGAGCGGCGCTCCGCTAATGGTTTCGAAACAATGCGAAGTTTTTTTGGCCGGGGCAAATTCGCGGAGCGGCGCCCCACTAATGCGAGCGAAGCACCCAGCCATTTCTACCTTCTGAAGCCAATTGGACGAGAGGCGCCCCGCCATTGAAAGCGACGCGTTTTCAATCTCCTGTTTCGGGGCCAGTTAGCGCAGCGGCGCTTCGCTAATGGAAGCGAAGCGCTCGTAGTCCCTTGGCCCGCGCCTAATTTGCGGAGCGCCGCTCCGCCAATGAGTGCGCAGCAATCGCAATCCCTTGGCCCGTGGCCAGTTAGCGGGGCGGCTCCCCGCACGTGGGAGTCGAGCAGTCGCGACCTTCTGGTTGGGGCCCCATTAGCGGAGCGGCGCTTCGCCAATGGGGGCGGAGCAACAGCAATCATCTGGCCGGAAGCAATTTAGCGGAGCGTCGTTCCGCTAACGGGGGCGAAACAATGTTTTTTTTGTTCGAGGAGCGCTGGGCGATCGGCGCTCCGTTAAGGGCAGCGGGGCAATCGTATTCACCTGGCTCGAAGGCGGAGCGACGCCTCGCTAGTGGGGGCGAAGCAATCGCAATCCCTTGGTCCGAGGCTAGCGGAACGCCGCCCCGCCAATTAATGGAGCGGCAACCTGCTATTGGGGGCGAGGCAGTTGCAAGCCATTCGTTCGAGACCAGTTCGCGGAGCGGCGCTCTGCTAAATAGGGGCGGAACAGTCGCGATCCATTTGTTCGAGGCCAATCAACGGAGCAACGCCCGTCTCATGGAAGCGAGGCGATCCAATTCGGTTGGCTTGAAGCTAATTGGTGGAGCGGCCATCCGCTAATGGGATCGAAGCAATCTGCCCATCCCGTCGTTCGAGGCCAATTAGCAGAGCGCCGCCGTGCTAATGCGTGGAGCGGCGCTTCGCTGATTGGAGCGAAGGAGTCGGAATCCCATCGTTCGAGGCAAGGTAGCGGAGCGGCGTTTCGCTAATGAGAGCGGCGCAATTGGGCCAGTTAGCGGAGCGCTGCTCCGCTAAAAGAAGCGATGCAGTCGTATTTTCTTGGCCCGAGGCAAATTTAGTGGAGCGGCGCTCCGCGAATGGGAGAAGCAATCGCGCCCCCCATGTGATCCTATTGGCGGAGCGGCGCTCCGTTAATTCTAGTGAAGCAGTTTGTTAAAAGCCAATCAGTGGAGCGTCGTTCCGCGAATGGGAGCGAAGCAAACAATGCCGGCACACACGTATTGAGGCAGATTAACGGAGCGGCGCTCCGCTAGTCCGACGGGGTGTGTTTTTTTTCCAGTAAAGGAGGCGTTGGCCCATTCTGTGAAACTTTACGATCGAAGACTGGGGCTCAGGGATCCAGGCAAACCCCTTGAGGGCGCGCCCACCCCGTGCCCGGCGGCATGGTGGCGGACGTTTTGGCTCATCAAAAATGTGCCACCCAAGGCAGATGTTATCGCTCCTCTTGGGACCTCGAGGCATGCGTAGAGGAGCTTAGGGTAACGCCCAAACAACGTTTAACCGGCGTTGTTCTTCAAGGGCGGCTCTCCTAGGTTCACCCCCAACAGCTGTTCGTGAGTGGATGCGTCGTGTTTTGATATGTGGAGCTGGTTGGAAGCTAAACCATAGACCGCTGTTTTCTTGACGTGCGAGGCTACGTCGGGATGTCAGCATTGCAAATGCTTTGTTCCATTGCGCTAGCATCGGCATGTATCTTGCCAGGCTTGCGCAACTTAAAGAAGCAACGCTCACAGAGGCACCCCATTCGGGAAGCATTTGGGGAGGTCAGCCACACGAGACTCGCAGGGAATTCCAACAGGCCCTCAAGAGGTTCCAGGAGGCATCTAAGATCTGAGAGGCGTTTGTTAGTTCGCCCCAGACTATGCGAAACGCGTGCTATCCACCAGGACTCGTGTCTTCAGCGTCGGCCAACCCCACCAGTAGCACCGATCCTACCTCCAAGAAGGCTGCGTCGGATTGCCCGAACCATGCAACACGCGCGAATTAAAACATCAGAGGGGGGCAGCAGCCTCGACCAGCCTTACCGGTTGCGCGGGCGTTAATTCCACGGAGGCCGCACAGCATCCTCTTCGCCTGCGTGTTCCACCATTCCAGTTTGTCATGTTGCCTTCTCTAGTCTCCACCACCTCCACCAGCCTCACTGATAGCGCTTATCACCTCTTCCGGGAGGCCGTCGGGATTGCGCAGGTCATGCAAAACACGCGTAGTTTCTCGAACTCGTGCCCTCGAGCTTTGACCAACGACCGCCAGGACTTCACAGAGTCCACCTCCGTGTCGGGCTGCGCGGGTCATGTTGAGAACATGTTATGTATATTGGATGGCTTGTGCCCTCCAGTCACCACTAGCCCCACTAGTAGCGCAGATTAAACCTCGGGGGGACGCCGCGTCGGTCTGCTCATACTATGTGAAACGCGCGCTATTTCGTTTTTTTGTTCAACACCCCCAGCCCCATCGGTAGCGCTGGTTTTATCTCCAGGAGGCCGTGCAGGAATGCGCGGGATATGCGAAGCACATTGTACTTATCAGGGAGCGCTCCCTCCAGCCGCCACCAGCTCGACCGTCAGTACGGATTCTGCCCCCAGGAAGGTCGTGAGGGGCCGCGGGGACCACTTCCATTCCATGCATGCATCCTTTATCGTTTCGTTCGTTCCGCCGGCTCTTTTCGTATCACAGTGGCTGCGAGGTGGTGTGCTCGTGCCCAGGGGGAACGGTAGGACAGGCAGGACGGTCTACGAGGAGATCTGTGGAGATGTGGTTCGCACCCTGTCGAAGAGAGTCGATAGACTGCCCCAGAGGGCGCCAGGATGGCTCAAGAGACTTCCAGCAGATTTTCGAGACGTACCTCGGTTGTGGGCCAAAGTCCTCATGGATGCTTCTTGGGGTCTCTTCGCAGGGAGCCTCTGGGGAGCAGTTTTGAAGCCTATTGGGAGCGTCTTGGGGGCTTCTTGGGGGCCTCTTGGGGCTCTCTGGGGGCCTGTTTGGAGTCTTGGGAGCCTCTTTTGGGGCCTTGTTGGGGCATCTTGTGGCCTCTTCAGAGGCTCTGAGGGGCCTCTGGGGGCTTCCTGGGCGCCTCTTGGGGCCGAGAGCTCGAAATGTCTGTTCGGGTTCCCCCTCTGGGTCCCCTCTTGGAGCCATCCTGGGTCGTGGAAGCCTCTCGGGCCGTCTAAGATCTTGGGCCATTTGGAGGCCTTCTTGCAGGCTTTTTGGACCGTCTTGGAGTGATCTTTGGACCTCTTGGGCCGTCAAGGGCCGTCGGCAGCTCGAAAAGGCGGTACCGCCAACATCGTCCGAAAACCCAAGCAAAATCAATGATTGTTGCGTCTTCGGGGCCTCTCGAAATCCTCTTGGAACCCTCCTGAAGCGTCTTGGGCATCTTAGAACGCTCGGGGTCTGAGGCCGTCAGGCGTGCCACCCTTGTGGCGCCTCATTGGTGCGTCCGAAGGCTCGAGGCCACGCCCAGCAGTTACTGCACCTCTGGTCCGTCCTTGCCTGGACTTGGCCAGGGTGTTCTTTGTCCAGGGACCCCCTGGGGCCGCAAACACTTTTTGAATTCTTACTGGAGGTTTTCGCACTCCTCTGGCCCGTTGAGTTGGCGAATCTATCAGGGATCGCGTGTGCCCTCCAGTCGCCACTAGCCCCACTAGAAGTGCAGATTATACTTAGGGGGACGCCGCGTCTGACTGCGCATGCTATGCGAAACGCGTGCTATACATCCGGTTTTGTGTTTTCTCCGGCATGACCAGCCCCATCGGTAGCGCTGGTTCTATCTCCCAGAGGCCGTGTAGGAATTCGCGGGATATTCAAAGCACATTGTATTTATCAGGGAGCGTTCTTTCCAGCTGCCATCAGCTCGACCGTCAGTACGGATTCTGCCTCTAGGGAGGTCGTGAGGGACTGCGGGGACCGCTTCCGTTCCACGCATGCATATCAGTATGATGCGCTTCCTGGGCATGGTAGCATTGATGCTCCGTTGAGCTCGCCACGGCCTTGCAATATGTATGTGGGGAGCTCTGATGACATAATCAGTCAAATTCCGAAGTATTTTCGGGTACGGCCTCCAGAGGACGTTTTCCCGGGCTCCAGAATCATCATGCATTGTGCCGGGGCGAAGCGCTACCATCTGGCCAGAGGTCAGGACTCGTGGGGCCGCCCCTTGAAATCACACATTATGGGTCGGGCGGAAGTGGCGGAAGTGGCGGCAGCACTGCGTGCATCGTCGCAGCGCGACGTCATATTACCGCGCACTTCCACGTGGTGGTGCGACCTTCTAACGTCGGCTCGCACGCCTGCTCCCCTGGTCCAGCGAGCCGGGCTCGGGAGCACATTGGAGAACGAGGCTCCAAACATGTGTTGTTCGCAAGTTTTCCTCATGTTCCGCGTGGGAGCCTCAGAACCCTGCGTCACTCAGACAGCAGGTAGGACCTTTGGGAGTGGTTGCCGCTTCCCCCAAGTGTTCAGGGGCGCAGACCGGAGCTGAGAGCACACCGCCGTGGTGAGCGGTGCTCTTAGTTGCCTCCCTGGCGCCAGCGCGCGATCGGACGCATGTTTCTCATATGGTGATTGTGGGATCGACTGCGCCGGTGGCCCTGAGGGGCCACGAAGAGTCTTCTTTCATTTCTGCCTGCTCCCCTGCTCTACCCACTCCTCCTTTCTCCTTCAACTTCTCCCTGTTTCTCTTCTCCTTCTGGGCCTCTTCCCCTCCCGCGGGTGATGTGGGAACAGTGTGCCCTGCGGCCGCTGCAGGGGGGTTGACCGCCTCTGGCATGCCGCAGTACAAGGACCCCTTTCCCTCTCGCATGCCACGGGCGCTGCCAAGATTCCAGCTCCTTCCTTCTGCCGCCTACCTGTGCCTTCCTCCCAGTGCTCATCCGTCTTCCCCCGAGCCCGTGTTCTTACATTCCTGGCGTATCGGGCGTCACGGGAAGGGGGGAGAACCAATTGACGTACGTAACGTTTTGCGCCCGCGGGGTTTGGGAATGGTTCTGAGGAGCTAGGACTGCTGGGATAGGCAGCAAGAGTATAACTTGCTAGCGGGGGTTTGGAGCAGCTTTTGGAATTCGCCTGAGTAGCTGCAAATATTCCCGGGACGTGGGAGGAGATGCCGAGGCTTAGGAAGGATGTGGGGAAGTGCCGCTGGCTGAAATCGTGACGTTACCAGTCGGCCTGTTGCTCTCAGGCACGGCGTCGTGTTCGTAGGCGGCTGCGGGCAAAGAGTAGGCGGAGGGGGAGGATGACGACGACCAGGAGCTCGACTCTTTTAAGAGTCGGCAGGTAACCTTGTTTATTGGACCCGCCCCCCCGACCAGCCCCCCAGATAATTTAACCTTGTAGTTCGTGCAAGTTCTGCGGTTGGGGGAAGCAGGCTTGCCTTGCGGTGGTCCTCACAGGGACCGTGGTTTTCATAGTCGCAGTGGTGTTTGTAGGCGCGGCGGTGCTCGCAGGCGCTGGAGGGTCCAGCCAGGGGATTGCACAGCGGTGTTCGTGCGCGTTGTGATGGTATTCGCACCATTTGAGGTTGTCGCAGGCGCGGCGGTGCTCGCAGGCGCTGTGGTGCCCATACCCCCTAGGTGTTCAGATGCGCTGTGATGTTTATGGGCACGGTGGTGGCCGCACGTATTGCGGTGCACGCAAACAAATGAGGAAATGCTCCTGGTGGACGCACCAGCGCTTCCAGTTCCAATGGCTTTTCCTCTGCAGTGCTGCCTGTGTGAGCCCCGGAATGTGGAGGAGCACACAGTGGGCTGCGGGCGTCAATCATCGCCAATTTTGCCAAAGGAGTTTATATTCCCCAGCAGCAATGCCCTGTCGTTTCGGATTTGTTGTTGACGTTGTTGTGTCTCCTGGCTGCTGCTTCAACCTTCTCCCTTCCTCGTTTTTTTTTTTTATTCTGCGCTTCAGTGCTTCTGATGCTGCTTTGTCGTCTCCGCCCCCGTCGTACTCTTGCGCGGCGGTTGTCAGGCTTTCTGGTTGTTTCAGTGGGTCGCGCAGGGGAGTGACGCGGCACATTTCAGACTTGCCAGACATCTTGGCGTATTTGGTGGGCGGGCATGCATTTATTTCTCCTCCTGCGGGAACGGCGGCGGGCCCGCGTGGCTTCGCGAATGACGCTATGTTGTTTCGCTTGGCAAGACCTTGTACTAACCCTTATGATCGTGCGCGGTGTCCCGCAAGCCGCAAGGCCACGCCAAAATTATTGTTTCTCCTTTGGGCAAGTTGGTGAGTTTTGTTCCCGTTGGCCATGCAGCGGCCCCGCGTGGCGACACCCTCATCTTCGTTTTTTGTTCGCGGGTCCCATGCCCCGTGTCGCATGGGACATGCCTCATGCCCAATGCACACCGGTGGCGCTATCTGCTAAGGGCTCGCAGCTGTTTGGGTTGAAGCCCCATTTTCTTGTTCTCCCCCGGTCGGTGTCTCCTCGCCCTCCTGCTCTCACATGTATGGTTACGCTTTGGCGCTCAGAATACGGGTGAACCAATTGGTCGTTGTCACACCGTTTTAGGGTGACACGTGTCCCCCCCTGCGCTGTTTCGTAGCGTATGATTCATGTTGACGCTCAGATTGCAAGTAGGTGAATTGGTTGTTTTCACACCTTTTTCGAGGTGGCACGTTTCACCCCGTGGCTATTTCGCAATGTATAATTCCGCGTCGACGCTCATAATGCGAGTGAGCTAAATCGTGTTTGTCACACTTATTCGGGATGACACGTGTCACCCTGGTGCGTGCCAAGGCAATCACAACGTATGAGTTCATGATGGCATTTAGCACACTGGTTAACGAATTGTTTTTTGCCACGCCGTTTTATGAGTGAAACGTGTCACCCGTGTGTTCCCCCGCAATGTATTACTACATGTCAGTTCGTCAGTTCATCATACTAGCGAGACTACATTTTCCGGGGTGGCACGCCTTTCCAACATTGCGCTTGCATTGCATGATTTATTGTTGACGCTCAGACGTTTTCGAGGCTCACGTGTCATCCATATGCCCAGTCATAATGGATGCTTACATGTTCATGTTAAGCATGCGAGTCAACCACTTAGTCAAGTTCAACGTGAAAATCAAGGTAACCGTCGAACATTGAATGGTGAAAACTTTGCGTTTCACCTGCGTTCTAGCTTTACACATGAATTCCACGACATAGTGTGACAGTCTTTTTCCCAGCGCGTGGGGTCTGTGGTCGACCGCCTGCGGCGGCGCTTATATGTCGATGACTTCACGCTGTGGGCCCGCGGCAAGGCCGACGAGGTGGGCGACGTCGCAGCGGCAATCAGGAACGGGGTGCACTTCACGGAGGCGTTTGTCGAGATAAGAGCCGCCAGTTCGCGAACACGAGGGAGCTGCGGCGTTGGCTGTCCACCCAGGTGCCCGCGATCGCTGCTCGCTGCCTCACTGCGGCTTCCGCGACTTGGGCGCGGTCGCCCACGTCGGACCTGCCCGACGCTGCGCCGTCGCCGGCACGCGGGCGAGGGTCGCAGGAGGCCGCTTCGTGCGCGGCGGGCGGTTGCCGGTGCCCTTTCGCCAGCGTTGCCAGCTGGGCGCCGCAGCTGGCACCGCCGCTGGGCTTTATGGGGCGTCGTGCGGGCGCCCGCCCGTCCGAGAACTCGCTGGCCTCCGGACGGCCGCGCGGGCGGCTCTGCGCCTGGGCGGGCCACGCGCCGCGGCCGAAGTGGTGCCTCGACCCTTTGGCCGTGGTCGCGATCGCGCCGCTGTGGCAGCTGGCGGGGTAGATTCCCGCGGGATCTGTGGCGGGAGGCAGAGGGGGCCATGTTCGCGGGCCACGGGCGCGGGAGCGGCCGATCGCGGCGGCCACGCGGAGTTTAGCGACGTCCGTGATCAAGGAGTCTGTGCACCCCAACAGCGAGCTGCGCTTGACTTGGGTGCCCACTTGGAGTTTGGTTGCCGAGTCGCTCACGAAGGTGATGGAGACTGGCCTACCGTGCTCGTTCTTCGGCGCCAAGAAGCACAACTTCGGCACCAGGCAGCCCAACGCCGCCATGATTGCCTCTGTGATCGCCTCGTGCATCGGCAATGTCAAGGGTCAGCCGACCCCGGGGCCGCCACCGCCGTTCGATCTGAATATTTATTGGTACATGTGCTACCTGACCTGCTTCTCTATATTCCTGGGCATGACGATCGGGCTCAGCATTTTCGCGGTCATGCGGCTCACGGTGTCCCAGAACGACATCAGGCCGTCGCCGCAGCCAGAGGACAAGGCCACCGCCGACTGGCACCCCGGCTGCGACGGACGCCGCCTGGGCCGACGTAACAACCCGCCGCCCGCGATCCCCGAGGAGGAGGAGGATGACGACGGAGACATCTTCATGCCCGACGCCATAGCGACTGCGGCAGCGCAGAGCAGTTCTTCGGCTGGGAGCGCCACGCCGAGGCCATCGGCAGCGCCAGCGCCATCGCCCGTGTCGTCGCAGGACAGCTTCGCCGCATCATCTGCATCGCGCCCTTGAACAACTCTACGCCGACGGTGCCGCCGATGGAGATGAACGAGTGCGCCGTGGCAGGGCACAACATACGCGCGGGATACAACCCACGCAGCGTCTACGCCACCTGCAGGACCTGCAAGCGACATTCATCGTGGCTTCGCCGCAACCACAGGGTGCACAGCCCCGGTTTCTCGAGGATGCATCACTCGTTTTGGCAGGAGTTCCACTGAATTGGGCGCAAATGATGGGCTGCGACTTGCCAGACAAGGGCTTATCGCTGGCAGCGACGGGGACTAAGAAATCCACGTGAGTGAGACCCCGCCTGCACTTGTTGGCTTCGCCGCCACCAGGACGCTGCCTCTAGCAGCCGTGTGCGTTTCTCCGCATTCAGTTGTTGGTTTCGCCGCCACCAGGACGCTGCCTCTAGCAGCCGTATACGTTTCTCCGCATTCAGTTTGTTGGTTGCGCCGCCACTAGGACGCTGTTTCTAGCAGCCGTGTATGGTTTTCCGCATGCAGATTATTCTGTTCGCCGCCACCCGCTAGCCAGCCATGTATTTTTCTCCACGTTCAGTGTGTTCCGTTGTTATTCGGACGCTGCCTGCTGGCAGCCATTTGTGTTTCATCCGCGCATGGTCTGATCAGCCTCTGTGCGTGCGTTTTTGTGATGGTGATGACGATCACCAGATGCTGTTCTGCTACCAGCAGCCTTCTTATTACAAAGTAATAAGGCCCGAGCCGAGTGCCCGTTGTGCTTCAGAATTTGCTTTCGCCGGTGCGTGCGAGCACCCGTTAAATCGCCCCGAGGGCCGCCTGCTAGCATGCAGTGCGAGCCGTTTGCTCGCGATCGGTGATCTCGATCATCAGCCTACCGTTTGCAATGTAGTTTCCGGCGGGTGACTTGTCATAGTCCCCGCTACAGGCGCTTGAGACGGCGACTAGGAGGAATGTGAATCAAGCTCACTCCCAAGGAATGTAGGAGGCCAGAGAGGGATTCCCCCATCAGCCTCGAGGGCCCTGCGGTTTCATTCCTCTCTCTTTCCCTGTTGCTGCGCTCTCACCCTTGTTCTCCGCTACCGTTTTTGCTCAAACCGTTTAGGGCCCTTGGCCTAGAGCTACGCCTGTTCGAAGCTCGAACAAGAAGGATCATCGATCATTCTCCCCGATTTCCATATCACAGACGAAACGTATGATTGGGTGTGCAGACATGGGTGGCGCGGACGCATGTGAACACCGCCTTTTGGGCCTCCGGTGGAGCTCCCTACGAATCCACGAGACGTACGAGTGTGCTGACATCGATGGCGCGGGCGCATGTGGACACCGCCATTGGGACCCTCGGTGGAGCTCCTTATGGGGCCACTAAGCGCGTGAGGGGTGTACCGACATTGGTGGCGCGGACGCATCTGGACACCGCCATTGGGGCTTTCGGTGGAGGCAGCTTCCTATGGGGCCACGAAGCGTATGAGGGGTTTTCCGACATGGGTGGTGTGGACGTATGTGGACACCGCCACTTGGGCCTTCGGTGGAGCTCCTTCTGGGGCCACGAAGCGTGTCAAGGGGGTGCCGAAATGGGTGGCGCGGACGCATGCGGGCACCGCCACTGGGGCCTTCGGTGGAGCTCCCTCTGGGGCCACGGTGCGTACGAGGGGTGTGCCGAAATGGGTGGCGCGGACGCATGTGGACACCGCCATTGGGGCCTTCGGCGGAGTTCCCTATGGGACCACGAAGCGTTTGAGGGGTGTGCCGATGCTGATGGCGATGATGGTGGTGAGAACGGCGATGATGACGATGATGATGGCGATGATGACGATGATGATGATGCTGATGATGAAGATGGTGATAATGACGACGATGATGATGCTGATGATGCGGGCGATGATGATTACGATGCTGATGACGATGAGTGACGGTGGCGATGGTGGGAGGAGGGAGGAGGCACGAGTGGACGAGGGGATCTGCCTCTTCTAAACGAGTATGCCCAACACCGCATGATGGTTTGGAATGATGTTGGCCTATCGGTGCCCTCTTGGGAGACCTTTTTGAGGCCTTTCTGAGCGTCCTGGAGGTCTCTTGGGTCGTCTGGGGGGCCATCTTGAGCGTCTTGGAACGATCGTTCGGCGACTCGGGGCCTCCTGGACCGTCTCGGAGGCTTGCCGAGGCCTTTTTGGCTTGTCTTGGGGCCCGCTGGGGTCGAGCAAATCATGCGGGGAGATGCGGGGGAGCCCAGGGGAACCGCGGGAAACCCTAGAAGATTTGGCCCGAGGGATTCCAGATCCTTCAAGACACGGTGGCGGACATTGTGTTGCGCCACAGTACATCATATCATGTCGATGCGATCAGAGTACGAGTGGAGCAATCGGTGTTCGCCATTCTGTTTTCGAAGTCAAGTTTACCATTCTCGAGTTCTTGTTGTACTGCGCACGCGAGAGCGCGCGCGCGTACGCGCGCACTCGCGTGCAGTAAGAAACGTGCGTGTGTGTGTAACAATACATCACATCATGTTGGGGCCCTCAGATCACGAGAGAAACAGTTGGTTTCACAGTTCGGCTGTCGAGGTTACGTTTGCCATTCTCGATTGATTTTCCACTGCGCAAGCGAGAGCGCGGGAGCGCACTTGCAATGACAGTGCCACAATTGATCATACCATGCTGGGGCCTTCAGAATACTCGTGGAACCATTGGTTTTCACCACTCTACTTTCTAAGTTGAGACCTCTTGCTTTTTGTATTGCGCACGCCGAATGTCCAAAGTCATGGTTTTGTGTTTCCTGGTCTGCGGCTCGGGCTGGGGGGGCGCTGCCGCGGCTGAGTCTTTGATTCATTTGGCCTGGGCCGCGCGGTCGTGTTTTTATGGTCCCACCGTCGGTCGCCCCCCGTGGGCCATGCCAGCGCGTTCGTTTTATGTGGCGCCGGGCTGCTATTTGTTTTTGTTCTCGTTGGTCCGAGCGGAGCCCCCCCCAGGGATAGTATGCATTTGGCGTTGCATGTTGTGGGCCAGCCCCTGCGCTGTCGTAGCGCATGCGTCTTCCTTGGAAGACGCCGTATCCGGGCCGACAGGGGGCTTCTTAGGGCTACTATATCGACTTTGTTTTTTTTCGGCCGGGGTGTCAGTCTTTTTTTCGCGGGCCCACGCGGACGCGAGTTTTCATATTGCAGCCGCTCTGTCCATTGCGTTTCCTGTCCTTCATGTTTCCAGCTTCACGTACGATCTTCAGAATGGGAGGGGGCACGGGAGTCCGCGGGATTCAAGCATTTGCCGCTTGTTCCAAAGGAAGATATTCAATTTCCGCCCAGGCTGCGGTTTCTGTATTCCCGTGGCGCGATTTTGGGTCCTCAGAACGATTTGTTGCAGGAGCCCACAGGAATCATGCATGTTGGTGCATAGCCCAGCCATTCCAGATTCGTGGGGTTTCTGATGTTGTGTCTCGCGACGTTGTTGTTGCTTCTCCAATCCCCCTCGTTCTACTTGTTCTCCTGCCGTCGCGCACGTTGCGGTGCTCTCACGCACGTTGTTGCGTTCGGAAGTTATTGTGATGCTCGCAGACGTAATGCTGGTGTTTGCTCGCGGGATAGTGTGCGATTTGCAGTGGTTGGGATTTTGCTGTGCTTGCATACGCATGGTCTGGGAAAGGTCTAATGGTACTGGCAGGGTAAGTCGTTCCTTGTCGTCTGCAGGTCGCACGCACACTGTATTGTATTGCTCTCAGGCACGGCGTCCCTTCGGTGCGACAGTTGGTTAATGACGCTGCGTCGGGTGCAGGAGGTCTGGATGCGCCTCGTGGGGGCCTCACGTAGAATCCGATGCGCTATCTGGTCCGTGCCGGCTGGTGGAGGCGTTCGCCCCGCAGGCTCTCCTGGCGAGGCCTTCGAGTGAGTGTACTTGCGCGCCATACCGCATATTCGGGTGCGTTGGCCTCGCCCCTCCTTTCTCGTCGTTCCTCCCGCGCCTCCTGGCGGCGGAGCTCAGGCTGGCCCTGCTGGGCTGGCCTGGTCTCTGCCTCACCTGCCGGCTCCTCCTCTCCCCCCTCAATTGGCCAGCGCCCACGTGGCCACCGAGGCTGACTGCTTCGTGAGTGGCCGGCGGCTCAGGTGGGGCCCAGTAGACGATTTGGCGGCTGCCACTGCGAGAGAGGTGGCATCCACATTCGCACTGCCATTGTAAGGTCGGCTATGTCTGCGTGGCCCCCGCTGCGGGTGCTCGCCTCGCCTATTTTCCTGGCTCTTTCGCCGCTCTCCCTTGGGTCGTTGTTTTTGCACGGGCCTGGTCAGCCCTCTCTGCCTGCCTCTTCTCGTCCCTCCCTGTGTGGGATTGCTACACTAATTGCTCGTGCTGCGGCCAGGCCGCTCGACGTCCGAGGGCGTGTAAGTTTGCGTGGTCGTTCGCGGTGCTTCGTATTGCGCCTTAGCTTGTACCCCATTCAGTGGGTATTGTGTCTCTCTCCTCCTCCCTCCCCCTCCTCTCCCGTCTTCCCTGGACTCTCGGGGCCGCTTTCTTGGTCGCATTGGCCAGTCTCGGCTGCGATCGCTTATTCTGCCACCGCGATGTCTCTATCCTGGTGCGATTCATTCTCTCTGGCAAGCAGTGCACTTGTCTCCGATCTGTTCAGTTGATTATAGTTGTCCGCATGTCTGTGTCTCCCGCGGGCTTTTCATGTCATATCGTACGCGATGCTTGTGGAGGTGCTCGCTGAATCCATTCGGTAGAAACCCTTCTCGCTTTGTGTGTTTGGAGTGGTGCTCGAACAAGGCGTGCGACAGCATGCCATGGCGCGCGAGTGGTTAACGGCAATGCTGTCGCGTCAAAGGGCCCGGTCTTAATCCCCCCTCCTTCCTCTGTGGTTTTCCTCTTCTTGCTCATCCTTCTTTTCTTCGCCCCTCCTGCCCAAGCATCCGCCAGCCCTTGTTTTGGATGGGGAGAGTTCCCTTCTTCCGTCTACTTCATCCCCTCTCTTGCCCGTAGTTCCCGCCTGATGTTGACTCTGTTGCGGGGGAATCCGCAACACCACGATCAGAGCCTCCCGGCCTCACGGCCTTGTTCTCCACATGGGGGACAACAGCTGTTGTCTTCAAAGTACCCATGTCGTTGTGTGTTGAGGCCCGATGCAGACCTACAACTCGATCTCACGCTCATGCGCTCAGCAATCACGCATAACTTTTACTCATGCTTCGTTGTCTCCTCGTCTTTTGCTCTCGCCGTCCATAAATGTGAGAGCGTCTCAGGACGAGGTGTGTCGCAGCCTCTTCACTTGTTCGGGTATGAGTCGTGTTAGCATTCATTTATTTGACATGTAGTGATCTGCTTGTTGTCTGCTGCAGGATGCGGTCTTCATAGAGATTTGGAGGCACCGGTTTCTTACTCCAACGTTTGCTTCGGCTCAAGTTGGCAATTGTAGGTCAATCTCTCTGTCATGTAATATCTCCAGTTCTGATTATGCCTTCTTCCCGCAGTTGCTCGGATGCGTTTGTGTAGTTGACGTTCAGTATGATCGCCGCCCTTACTGTAGGGCTGCTGCTGCCACTGCGCCTGCCGCATTACTGCACAACCTGCCCTCGTGTCTGTGCTGGGGAGGGCCAGAAAACACTCGTAGTGTGCGACATTGTTCCCAGGGCAAAACTCGCATCGTGGAGTCGTTTTTCGTGAGAATGCCCATTCATAAGATTGACGCTCTTGGCTCAAGTTCTACGCCACAATCCCCTCCGGCCCCGTCCTGTTGGCAGTCCTGGACATACTCGTAGATGAGCATTGTTTTTCCGCGTCCTTCATCTCCTCTTCTCCTTGATTTACCTGCCCTCGAGCAAACTACGATTTCGATGCAGCCACAGGGGGTCGTGTTGTTTGGGAGCCTTTTGTGGAGAGTTGAAAATGCAGTGATAGCCAGCGTGAACCCCAAACGCTTCTTCCTTGCATATGCAGTGCAACCTAGGTGGGACAATCAATGGGGTGCAATATATGCGGCGCAAAAAGCAATGCCAAGGATTACAAAGCAGTGCACATAAATGCCAGGCAATTAATTGCAGTGCACAGCCGCGCGACGCAACTCAAAGCAATGCAACGCAATGCACAGCAATGCAAAGCAATGCAAAACAATGAACAGCACAGCAAAGCAATGCAACGCCATGCAAACCAACGCAAGCCAAAGCACAGCGACGCAAAACAATGCAACATATGTATTGTGATGCAACGCAGTACAACGCGATGCAACGCAATGCAAAAGCAAGGCACATAGATGCAACGCAATAGAAGCAATGAAGAACACTCTAAAGCAATGCAAATCAATGTTCCGTGATGCAAAGCGGGGCAACGCAATGCCACGCAATGCCACGCAATGCAACATAACATAATGCAATGCACTGCGATGCACATCAGTTCCTATCAATATCAAGTCATGCAACTCAATATAGAGCTATGCAAAGCAATGCAATGCGATGCAAATCAGTGCAAACCAATGCACATCAATGCAACGCAATGCAAAGCAATGCAGCGCAATGCCAAGTAATTAAAGATGTTACTGAGCAGGGAGACGCAACGCAGAGAGATGTGAGGCAACTCAATACAAACCAGCGCAATACAAAACAAGGTAGTGCGATGCAAATCAATGCAAAGCACTGTAAAGCACTGCAACACAACCCAACCGCAATGCAACGTCATGACAAGCCATGCCAAGCAATGCAAAGCAATTCCAACCAATGCCAACCAATGCCAAGCAATGCAACGCAATGCAACACCATACAACGCAATGCAATGCGACGCACGGCACTTCACATCAACGCAATGTAATTACTCAATGCAGAACAACCCAAAGTGATGTACAGCAATGCAAAGTAATGCAGGTCAAGGTGAAGCGAATAATTCAATGCGATGCCAAGGAACGCAACGCAATGCAAAGGAATGCCAACAAATGCTATGCCATGCAACGGAATGCCGAGCAATGCAATGCAATGCAATGCCACGCAATGCGATGCAAAGCAACGCAATGCTTGCATTGCGTTGCTTTGCATCGCGATGCTTGACATACTGCATTGCAATGCTCAGCAACGCAACTCAATGGAACGTCACGCAACGCAATTCAAAGCACTGCAACGCAATTCATAGCAATGCACGCAAAGCCGCCAGGCCGACGCGCGTAAGGAACAACGCAAAGCAATGCCAACTAACGCGCCAAGCTACGCAAATCCATGCAACCCAAAGCAATGCCAGACCAAGCGAAGCAATGCAACGCAGCGTAAATCAATCAATGCATCGCAGCAGCAGGAGCCAGGCGCCTCGACGGCGCATCGGCAGAGAACATGCCGTGCAGATGTGCACTTGCAAAACGGTAAAAAATCTGGGCACCCGTATCGGGGCGCATTTGCCGTGCAGATATACATTGGCAAGGCTTTGGCCGTTGAGTTTTCCCACTTGGCGTGGCCATGTACGACGGCGACAACGACAACGACGACGACAAGGAGGGGGGGAGGACGGAGCGAGGGAAGCGAGGAAGACGACAACTGTAAAGCAATGCAAAACGATGCGACGAGGCGGCGACGGTGCGGTGACGGCGACCACAAGGCGACGGACCCGACGCACAGGCCCACACGCCAGGCGTTGACGAGGCGGCGTGACGGGGCGGCGGCAGCGGCCACATAGTTGCCGCACCGCCGCGCAGGCCGAGACGACGAGGCGGCGACGAGGCGGCGACGAGACTGCGACGCGGCAGCGACGGTGGCCACACAGCCGCCAGACCGCCGCGCAGGCCCAGTTCCATGGAAAAGAGGTAATTCTTTACGCTTCGCGTATCCCCACCAGCCCATCTCACAGCAGCAACTCTTGCGAAGCATGCCGACAGTCGTGTTTTTCAGGCGTGTGTCCGCTTGGCCCCGCATATCTCCCCTGTTCCTCCTTCCTCCCGCCTCCTTGTACATCCTCCTTGTGGGGGGAGCGGGAGAAGGACGAGGCGGAGGAGGAGGGAGAGAAAGCGCTCCTCGTGATTTGAGTCGTTTGGGGTTTCTCGTCCTGGTGTGAGTCGTTCGGGCCCTTCTTCCTGGTGTGAGTCGTTCGGGCTCTTCGTGGTGTGAGTCGTTCGGGCTCTTCGTCCTGGTGTGAGTCGTTCGGGCTTCTCGTGGTGTGAGTTGTTCGGGCCCCTCATCCTGGTGTGAGTCGTTCGGGCCCCTCCTCCTGGTGTGACTCGTTCGGGCTCCTCGTGGTGTGAGTCGTTCGGGGCCCGCGTCGTGGTGTGAGTCGTTCGGGCTCCTCGTGGTGTGAGTCGTTCGGGCGCCTCGTCCTGGTGTGAGTCGTTCGGGCCCCTCCTTGTGGTGTGAGTCGTTCGGGCTCTTCGTGGTGTGAGTCGTTCGGGCCCCTCGTCCTGGTGTGAGTCGTTCGGGCTCCTCGTGGGGCCTCTTGGGGGCCTCTTGGGCCTCTTGGGGCCTCTTGGGGGCCTCCTCTTGGGGCCTCTTCGGGCCTCTTGGGGGCCTCTTGGGGCCTCTTGGGGCCTCTTGGGGGCCTCTTGGGGGCCTCTTGGGGGCCTCTTGGGGCCTCTTGGGGGCCTCTTGGGGGCCTTGGAGGCCTCTTGGGAGCCTCCTGGGGGCCTCTTGAGGCCATCTTGGGGCCTCTTGCGACCTCCTCAGAAGCGCAAATGAGAGCTGCGCCCTGAAAAGGACAAAATGAGCCCAAAACCTTTGTAAAATCAATGATTTTGCTATGAAGGAAGATGAGCGCGACCCCCTCAGGACGCCAAAATGGGACCAAAACCGTAGTAAAATCAATGATTCTGGCTTCAAAGAAGAGCAGAGGGGCCTATCTCCGTCCCCCCGTCGGGGCCAGAATCCTCGTGAGGGTCGTCGTTTTTTTGGCCCTCCGAGGAGTCGAAATGGACCCCCCCAACGACCCGCCGGACTCCCTCTCCAGGTCCAGGGGGAGGGGGTAGGGGGAGGGGTAAACCCATCCCCGAAGGGGACGAAGGGGGGTTGAGGACAGAGATAGCTCTCTAAACCACTCACGCCCAAAGTTCTGGTGGGATTAGCCCGAAGTGCAAGCACTGCTCGGGGAAAACATAATCCCCCAAATCGCCCCCGCAGGCATGTCCCCGAGCGCGTCAATTCAGCCGTGGCGACGAGAGCCCCACTAGAGGCCCGAAAAGGGAAAAACACGTACAACATCAGAGTGAGGGGTCCGAACGGTCTTGGGTGCGTGGCTGCAGTGGGGTTCCGCGGTGCGGATTGTCGTTGCGTTGCGTTGCGTTGCGTTGTTGTCGTCCCCATCGTGACCCGGCCCACGACCCACAGCGACCCACCCGCGACGCCCGCGACCAACCAGAGACCCACCCGCGACCCACCCGCGGCCCACCCGAGACTTAGTCTACCTACCCGCGGTTTACCCCGCGACACACCTCGCGACCCACTTCGCGACCCACCCCGCGACCCACACCACGTTCGCCCGCGACCCGCCCCGTGCCCGCCCCCTCACTTGTATCCGCATCTGCGTGGTGCTACATAAGATCAAATTGCATTGTAGTGCTCCCTCGATCGATCCACCTCCGCAGAGTCCTTTCGGCCACCATCCTGGCTCTCTTCTCGAGCTGCGTCCACCCTCGGCAATTTGCCTCCCCTGCCCGGAAGGCTTGAACCAGGTCGAAGAATATCATAATCTTCCCCCCGCGCCCTGGCGCGTTCCCCCTCCCCCCCTCTTGCGGAGGCACCTCAAGAGCCTGCGCACGCACCAGGCCCACCTCTCTACCCTCAACTCGCCCGCGTCGAACGGCTATGGGGTACGAAGGCGCCGCAGTCGCCAAGTGCCGCCACCGTTTGAGAATGGGGGAGATGACACGGAGGCGTCTGACTCCATCCTTATTCCTTGCTCCCCATCGCTCCTAAAGTATCACCTCCATCTTCTCCTCTTTCCTCCTGCCTCCCTCCCCCGCATCTCCCGATTTCTCCCTCTCTCTCCCTCAATTCATCCTTACCCATCCTCCCCCTCCTCTTCCCCCTCCTCTCCTCATCCGCCTCCTTCGCCTCCTCCTCCCTCCTCCTTTCCCCTCCCCCCCCGTCACCGTTCCCTTCTCCGCCTCCCCCTCTCCTTCTTCTGTTACTGCTCCTCCTCCTTCGCTTATCGAAGACGCCTGCGGCGAATCACCGTTGCCCCCGGCCTTTGTGGTAACGCCCATGCGGCCAAACGGAGTGCCTAAGTCAGACCACGCTATTGGACTAAGCGTTCCTGCTGCCGTTGTGGAACCCCTTGGGGGAAAATTGGGAAGACGACGAGAAAGGAGGAGGAGAGGGAGGAGAGGACGGAGAAGGAAGAAGAGGAGGCCTTTTGAGGCCCCTTTTCTGGGCTCTTGGGGACTTCCTAGGATCTTATGGGGGGGGGGCTCTAAGGGACATCTCGGGGGCCTACTGGAGCCTCGTGAGGGTATCATGGGACCTCTTGGTGGTCTTGTGGGGGTCGCCTAGCCTTCGGAGGCCGTCTTGGGCCCTTCCTGGGCAGTCGTGGGTTCCTCTTTGGGCGCATCAGGGCTGTCTGGGAGGTCTCTGGGGTCGTCTTGGAGGTTTCTCGGAGGCCTCTTGGGCTGTCTTGGGGGCCTCTGAGGCCGTCTTGCGGGCCTCTTGGGTGTTTCCTGGGCCGTCTCAGGGCGACCACCTGAAGCGTCTTCGGTGTCTCTTGGGCAGTCTGGAGGACATCTTAGGCAGTCTTAGGGTCATCTTGGCCGTCTTGCAGGCGTCTTTGGAACCGTCTTGGACGCCATCCTGGGTCTTCTTAGCCGTCTTGGTGGTCACCTTGGCTGTATTTGAGGCCATCTTGGGCGTCTTTGGGGCCTCTTGGGCTGTCTTTGGGCACTCTTGGGGACGTCTTGGGGGCCATCTTGGGCCATCATATGGCCATCATGGCAGCTCCTTGGGCCATCTTGGCCGTCTTGGAGACGTCTTGGGAACGTCTGGGAGGTCATATTGGGTCTTCCGCCCCACGGACAATGCGCGCGCGTTGCACGAGTGGGAAAACATAGCATGGCAATGGAACTTACAGTCACGGGAGAACAGGTAGTCTTGTGAGCAGGGGAGGAGTGCAGCATATGTGTTGTCGTCTTGTTTATGCATTCGCAGTTGAGCAGCATTGGGCATTGGTTTGCGTATCGCACTCATGTCTTATTTTGGCCCGGGCTCGGGCCCAGGCAAGGGCCTTGCTGGAGGTCACGCTCGGACCTCGACTTGCCCATCCCATCCCTCGGGCGGGTGGTGGCCCGCAGGCGCAGGCAGGGCACGGACCCTGAGGGTACGGGCCCTCAGGGCACGGGCCTTTTGGCGAGGGCACGGGCCCCGTCGATAAGTCGATAAAAAGGGAGCGTCGATCATGAAAGTAGCAGGTCGTGGGCACGGGCCCCGTCGGCATAGTGTGAGTCTGCGAATGCGGCGGGGGCGTGGCTCCGCTTTTTGGTCGAGAAGAATTGGGTCCACGCACGGGTCCCAGGTGCTGGCCAGGCGCGTGCCATTGTCATCGGTTCGATTGGCACAGGCCAGCGGGGTATATGTGGTGGCTATGGCCGCTTGGGCGGCACCGCCCCCAACCTCAACAGACCGTTTCCTTCCTCTCCAAACCGGCTCCCCCATGCGCGAGCGAGGTGGATGAATATGAGTTTCACATGCCGCGTCTGATCGAGCGAGGTCTGGCCATGGCGCCAAGACCTGAGCAGGGGTGGGTGCGAAGGTTTTGTTGGGCTCTTTCCAGCAGTTGGAGAGCGCAGCGCTCGGTGTGGCAGTGGCCGCAAGAAGATGGTGCCAGCGCTCTGTCAGAATTCTCCACCCCATCCCCAGGAGGTGAGGAACTGTCCATCCAAGCCCCCCTCCTCCCCAGCAGCCTCTTAAGAGTTGCCCATCAAAGGCCAGGGCGCAGCCCGCGGTCGCCGAAAGCAACAGACTGCAGGACGGACAGGTGCAGCGGCGGGGGCGTGGGTCCTTGTCGCAGATATGGCGTGCACCCCGAATTCGTGGGCACGGACCTTGTCCGCCGGCGTTGACTCGGGCGCAAGCCCTAACCTTCGAGGGGTCGCGGGCCCCAGTTGGAGTGCGTTCGTTGGGGCACGGGCCCGCTGGCGTGCCGCGGGGCACGCTTGCGCTCTGTCGTTTCAGCGGCGAGGGCTCGGCCTTGACAGCGCGCGCAACGTGCGCGTACGGCGACGTGCTGCCTCGACGGCAGGGTCTCCGTGGTACCGCATTGTTGCATGCGCGCTGCTTGCGGCGTGAACACGGGCCTTGTCCTAGGTGCGCGGGCCAGGCGCGGGACTGAATGTCGCGGACGCGGGCCCGTTTGCGTGGGCATGGCCCTGGTCGGGTTTGTTGGTCGGTTGGGCACGGGCCCAACGCGGGTGACCGAGTCTCCCAGGCGCGGGCCTACGGCCCCTCCGGCGGGCCCCGCCGCGTCTGCATTTGGTGGCCGTCAGCGCGACAAACGGGTATTTGGCGGACGACGGGCCCTGTCCACGCACGGACGTGGTCGGGGGCGGTGGCACATTCAGAGTGCGGCTGCCGTTGAGGCGCTGGCTTGCGGGTCCATTCCTAGCGGCGCGGGCACGGGCCCTCGTCTGGGAGCATTGGTTTTGGGCGCTGCCCAACTGCCGCGGGCGCGGGCCCTCGCGCGCAGGCGGCCGGCGTCTCCCGCGCGAGAGTTCCCACCCGCCCAGGCGGATCTTCCCGCGAGCATCGGGTTGCCGCCGGTTTCGCAGATTCTTCGCCCTTGCCGCAACCAGTTTCGCAAACGTTGGCCGGGTGCTCGCCTCGGTCTAGGGGGATCGGACTGCATGAGTCCGGCGGTGGTTCAGCAACTAGGGGGTGGAACACAAAACAATCGGGAGCGAGCACGGACAAAGTTGCACGAGTTTTGCGCTTGGCGTTAACCTGGCTGTAAACAGTGAATACGTGGTGTCGTCGCGAATGCATGTTTCACAGGACAGAGGACACCGTTGACCAGACTCGGATTGACTCGGGGGCGCAGTCCGCTGGCCTAGGGCCCACTGCAGGAGCGGGCCCCGGCCCGCAACCGCCTCGGCGAGTTTGACGCGCGGAGGCATAACGCGTCGAGTGCGGAAGAGCGAAGGAAGATCGCTCTCCCGCGACGCCCCCCGCCGTATCCAGTTTGTCAAGCTTACTGCTTGCGCTGGATGGGGTCCTTGTAGGCTTTCATGGTGTCCGAGTTCTGGGTCCCTTGCTGAGCCCGGGCGCCGTCGCGCAGTGATTCTCTCCTGCGCGCGAATGGTTGATTGGGCGTTTCCATGTTCAGCTTCGGTCGAGGAGATGCACCCCAGGTGGGGGGCATCTTCGCGCCAGCTGATTCGTGCCAGCACCTGCGCGTACGTTTCGGCATGCTGAGCAGCGAGCGCAGGCCCCGGGGGCGGCGTCGCCGTCGTGGTCCGTCGCGCAGCCCACAACCCAGCATGGCCCAGAAGCGGCGGTCGCCGCTGCAGGTTGGGCGCCCGCGACCGCAGGTTGGGGCCCGGGCGACCCCGCCTTCCGGCAAGGGCCGGCAGGTCCCCTCCAGACCCGCTAGCGCCGGCGACGGTTGGCGGTCTCACAGCTGGGCGCGGGCTCGAAGCTGGCGCGCCAGCTCCCGCTTCGCCCGCGGTGGAGAGCGCGCGGGTTTTCCTTGCGCGGGAGGCCCCTGGCGCCGAGCCCGCCTCAGTGGCGAGCGCGGCTAGCCTCGTGGAGGGGCTCATCGCTGTTTTCTCTCACTTCCGGCGATCTGGGCGCGATGGCCACGCGGTTCAGGGCTGCCAGAGCGCCGCGACAGATCGTTGCCACAATTTCCCCCCGGTGGGTTTCCTTTGCGTCGGCGGCGCGTTCCGGGCCACCACTTGGGCCATCTTGCCCAGCGGGCGGCACCGATCCCAATGGATAGCAGAGGTCTTCAATGGGCTTGCGCGCCAGATGTTGGGCCGGGAACCGGGCCCGCTCGAGGCGAGAGGTGTCGAGCGTTTTTTTCCGCGGCCATTTTGGCCCAGTGACGCGCCGCCTATCTGACCGATCTTGAGATGCGTCATCGCCGCTCCCGCGGCTCTGTCCAATCTCTGGCACTATCGCTAGTGCGACGTAACAGGGTTGGACGCATGCATCGCCTGAGGCGACGCATCTGGTTGGGCCCCCCGACCAGCTTTAAACTTGGTAGCGGAGGTGGCCGTTGGTGGTCAGCTCTAGGTCTACGCCTCGTTGCCCACGGCGCTATCTGGTGGGCGACCGACATGGTGGAGCATCGGGGGATCAAGTGGATCTACATGAGGAGCTGTATTCCATCGCAAGACACCTGCACTGCTGCCTCTGCTCACGCCGAGGTCTGTTACCTAAGCCCTACATCTGTGCTGCTGCGCCTGAGGTCAACCGCTCTGCGCCAATTGGCAATTTCTTCGAATATGCGGTGCATGATAACATGCGCCATGACGTCGCGCCGCCTGCATCTCCTCGCAAGCTGACGGCAGCGTCACCTGGTGGCCGACAGCTGCTTACAACCGACACCGACCTACGGGGACACTGGCTTGGCATCATTATTTTTGGCCTCATCTGGGTCGCCATCGGATGCGCCGTTGGGCGCAGCGCGGCGCAGGCGACGCGCGCGCTGCCGGCCCTTGCTGGGGCACTGCCGGCAACGTATCTTTCCGTGAGTTTGCTCGCGAGGTACATGTCTGAATGAACGTCGCCACAGGAACAGCGATTCTTTCCCAACGGGCCGCCGCTTCACAGCGCGGCTTTGGAGGTCTCGCAAGGGCCGCTGCCGCGAGGGCCCACCTGGCCGCCATC